CATAGACCAGTGGAGGGCTCTTTTGAACTCGGTAATGAGCCTTCAGGTTCCACAAAATGCTGAGAAGTTCTTGGGTAGCTGCACAATTGGCAGCTTCTCAAGAAGGGCTCAGCTCCATGAGTGGGGTAAAGAAAGCCTACATGAACTCTTCAAATCTACACTCTACGCCTCGACATGTAGAGTTCCTCATGGAGGGGCAAGTCCTCAAACTTATCTCCCGTGAAAACCACATAAAAATTACATTTTGACCGCGGTTGTGACTCAGGCCATGCTTGTCTCCTGCAGGGCTAATATTGACACAGAATCGTCGAGACTGTTCACAAGTGACGTCGTTGTGGAGATGTCGTCAAACATGAGCAAACAAATGAAATATAATATTAACCAAGTTTTAGAACAATGAAGTAGAAAGAGCAATACAGTACAGCAATTACATAAAAGTAGCTACCTTGTGGTGACCTTGTAAGGTCGAAATGCGCCGTAGAAGCGACATTTATACAAAGTGACAATGCAGCACACCAACAGCCTACGAGTATGACAAGAAATGGCGCCTTCAGGACTTCCGCTGCAAATTGAATCGTTAACCGAAGCTAGAGGAAGCTAAAATATAACAAAATGAAATATATTTATCGACATACATCAGAGTTCGCATTACACTACAAAATATTAATTTGTAAGGGAAAGTTAACATTGCGGTTAAGCCGCTAAAACGTAGTGGCAAGTGGAGGGAAAGCTCCACACATTCTTAATTTTGGCTCTGGATGGATGTGAGTAGCTTCACGGCCGGGAAGGAGCCCTGACCGATGGGAGGTTGGGTGGACCTATTGACAGAACGTAATGCACTCAACGTAACCCAGTAGGCTAAGACAAATGAACGCATGAATACCTACCCTTGTCGGCGTTGTTACCTCCTTATGATCACCAAATGAAGAACACATGAAGGCCTTCCCAAGTTCTTACATTTATTTAACAGCGTTGCGTGGGGCATAGAAATTATGTTTTACTGAAATTCCGTCGGTATACCGATGGGCTATGGCCTGAACGACCGGCGTTCGAATCCCAGTATGGACAAAATTTTTCTCTTTTCTATAACGTCCAGACCGGCTCTGGGGCCCACCCAGTCCCGTATACAATGGGTAAAGCGACAGGGGTACGAAGGTGACCATTTACTTCCACCTAGTTCCGAGGTCACGAATGGTGGAGCTATACCTCCACTCCCCCATATGTCTTCATGGCACAGTGCTTAATTAAGTACAGGGACCCTCTTACCTTCATACCGTTTTAATGTCTTATAACATAGAAACAGACGGGAGGACAATATTAAGGTAGGTTTTAATGAAATAGGTTATGAGGATTTGGACAAGGTTCATCTGGCTCAGGATTGGATGCAGGTCTTGTGAACATGGTAATTAAACTTTTCACTTCATGAAAGGTTGGGAATTTCTCGATCAGCTGAATGACTGCAAGCTTGCCAACAATATTAACGGTTACGAGTGATGAACTGTGGGAGATGTGAGAAAAAGTGTTCATATTTCAAGGCATATTCTGTCAGTCGTCCGGAGGAAAATGGAGATATCCACGAAAACATTTGTACGTGTCAAAAGATAAAATTGTAGGTTCCTATGACGTACACTTGCAAGCAATAGAATTACCTCCATGTTTTCTACAAATGGCCGCTCCGTATGAATGCGCCGTGGATTTCTTCGAACTAAACCAGACCACGCCGCTCACAATTGACACGCGGTCTAAGGCATGAACGGTCTTGGCCCGCTCAAACACTGAGATCGTGAGTTAAAACCCATTTGAAGCATGGATGTGTGTATGCGTTGATCCTGTATCTGTGCTGTCCTGTGTACAGGTAACAGCCTTGCGACGGGCTGGTCCCCCGTCCAAGGAGTCCTACCGGCTGTATAAGATTAAGAAACTGAAAAAGCGGCCAAGCTCCAACAAAGGGCTGCACAGCCAAAGATGCATGGATACACACGAGCGTGAAAGCTCGAACCCGCTCCTTTAAAACAATTAACTAAAAAAGCAACAGAGTGATGCAATTGCTTAGAAGTATCTGCCTGATGATGACCATATACGGCAGAAATATGTCGAAGTGACATTTATGAAAGAGCGACATGGCGTGCTAGCAGTTCATGCGCAGGACAAGACTGCCCACGCAAACTACAGCCTATAGACACTCAAATACGCATGATGTGGTGCCCATCTCAGAGACGCTGTCTTGGTAGGAACGGAAGCCGCTACAGGGCTGACGTCTGCTCCAGGACGGCTAAGTTGAAATAGCGACGAGCCATGGGCTGAAGAGTTGGGGTTCGATTCCCAGATTTTTCTTTGTTCCGCATTGTCCAGACCGGTTCTGGAGCCCACACAATCTCAAAGCCAATGGACACCGGGGGCTCTCTCGCTCGGGATAAATCGGCCGGGGAGTGAAGTTGACCACCCAACACCATTTAGTGCCGAAGTAATTAATGGAGGTTCTATAACTCCACTACCCCATACGTCCTTAAGGCGTGATGCTTAATTAATAAAGCACAGGGCTAACTTTACCAGACCGACTCTGGCACAAACAGCCTTATATCCAATGTGTGCTGGGGGCTCTTTCCTAGAGGGTAAAGTGCTCAGGCCATGAAGGTGACCACTAACTCCATCCACTGCCGACGTTGTAATTAGGTGGAGCTATACCTTCAGTCCTCCATACATTTTCACGGCGCGGTTCTTACCAGAGAACAAGGATAACTGCAGGATATGCTGTGACAATAAATTAATGCCTATAGTCTCCAGTGCCGATCACAGGGACCGCGCGGTCTGAGGCATGTACCGTCTTCGCTCGCTAGAACACTGGGATCGTGGGTTCCAGTCCCACTCAAAGCATGGATGTATGATTGCATTTATTCCGTGTTTGTGTTAGGTAGCGGCCTTGAGATGGGATGATCTCCTGTCCAAGGAGTCCTACCAATTGTCTAAGAATAAGAAACTGAAGAGAAATGAGTGTTTCACGGATATCATATGCTTCAAGTGGGAGAAACAGGAATAGAAGAAAAAGAATAGTGTCCACTTCTAATGCAGAAAGCTCCTGTCTCGCCTTAAAATCTATCCTCAACACACAATTTATTATGACGGAGCGTTAAAACTGACACGACAGTAAACACACCGGGAGTCAGAAAATTAACGTTCACATTTGCACAGACATTTTCACAAGACTTGAAAGTCTCGGCGTTTGAGGAGAACGAGACTCGTCAGCTGCCGAAAAGACGACTATGTTTTCAGAGTCCGTAAACCAGGAGGGAACCGGAAATAGTCGAAATGCTCAGTTTGAACAAACCTTTGTGAAAGATGTTCACTGTCTGGGTCAAAAGAGTGCAGGTATTCTAAGGCAGCATGACGTCCGGTGAGGAGTGTCGCTTGTACATGAACTAAGCTGCTCTTTCTTGTTGGTCCCGCATAACAACACGGGCCGACTGCTCCCTGTGGTGAACATGGCAGAAGATACTGGAGTGAGGACAGGTCTGGGGGGTGACCCTGATCCTCAGGCAGGTAAATGAGAACTTGTCCCCGTGCCTGATCATCACGACATGAAGGCGTACAAGAAATTAGATTTTCCGCCGCATGCATTCTTAACGTGGACGCTAGAGAGAGCTGAGTTGTCAGTTTCACTCTTGACACACATTGGATCGAAGGTTGGGTGGACCCTACCGACATCTTATTCTGGAATGCTAGGGGCATCAAAAAAAAAAAAAACGAGTTTACAAATTACCTGGATGCCAATAACATACCGATAGCACTAATAAGTGAGAACCACTTACAGCCATCCACGAAATTTAAATGTCCAAACTACATACCGTACAGGACTGACAGGCTAAATCAGCGGGTGGCGGAACAGCCATACTAATACGTCAGAATTTCAAGCACTCCGAAATTCTTCCTCGCTTGCAACATATGGAAGCTACAGCTATTCAACTCAACATTAATAAGGAATCCATAGTTTCAATTTCGGCCTACAATCCGCCAGGAAAAATAATAGAACGTGACTTAGACCTCCTCATTGGAACCGGGTACAAGGTAATACTTGCAGGCGATTTCAACGCCAAGCACGTAACATGGCGCGCTAGGCAGAAAAATGCCCCTTTTAAATCATTATTACAAAAATAATTACATAATTTCCGCTTCGTCGCAGCCTACGCATTTTCCAGAGAGAAACCCTGCAGGGGCGGAAAAAATTGACTTTGCCATCCTCAGTAACGTACTGTCAAGTCACTCAATACGCACCCTAGGTAGCCTCTCCACATCCGTTCACAGCCCCGTCTTATTGACCATACGTGGGCCATTAGAACCGGATGAAATTAAACCTAATTTTATCTACCGGGAACTTTTTCAAAATTACTTAGCAAACAGTTTGAATAATCGGCGCGCCATAGCTCAAGCGGTTAGTCGCTGTCTTCCCACCGCGGCGGCCCGGGTCTGGTCAAGTGGGATTTGTGGTGGACAATGTGGCGCTTGGGTGGGTTTTCTCCGAGTATTTCGGTTTCCCCTGCCAAGCTTCATTACACCAAATTCTCCATCATCATAATCATCCGGGGCAGGCTATAATAGGCCAATCAGTAGCCGCCGTGCCGAGTGGACCCAGTTGGACTCCACCCCCCCACTAAGCGAATTAAAAAAACCTGAATACTCAGTGCCTAGAAGGGAACTGCTCAAAGAGCTAGATTGATGTAGCGGTTAAGCAGCTTACAGATACCCTAAACTAGACCGCGTGGCCACTGTGAGAGGCTCATGGTAAAATTATTTAACTGAAACTGATGCCTGTATCAGAAATGTATACATATGGGACGTTTTGTATGAGATGTATCTATATTACAGTTTCTATGAAGGTCAGCTGTGAAAGTATACGGCTAGAGAGAGATCAACAACAAAACTGACCTTAACAGTTCATGTCGTCGTCCTTGAATATCTGATAAGTATATAATGAGACGAATACATAAAGTCGACATAGGCATTACCTGGATCAAAGCTGGACATATTTTCAGTGCCTCCGGTTTGATTCTTGATACTGATGTATTTCAGCTGACGGTTATCACTTACAAACACAAGAATCCAACTCTCGTGATGTTACAAACAATTTCTTCCCCAATGAGAACTGAATTAGAGGGAGTTTCGCGAGCTCATAGAGCTCGATTTCCATCGCAACAATCGAATTAGTCAAACGATTCTTCCCTCGTTCCAGTGCGATACTAAGCCGTGATGACACTGCAGTTCACATTACACGTGTATAACTTCGTCGTCTGTCGTGCTACGAGCGACTGCCAGGAATTACAAACGAGGAGTGGCTGTTGTTTAGCGTTGTTTAGTTCCCTTCTTGCTCGCTACTGCTTTTTATCTTGAACCAATGAGCTCGACCTCCAAGACACTGCCTGTGGCTTATTATAGATTCGAACGATGGTAAGTCTCAAGCTAGACTTCAAACGTATATACCATTCCAAATGGAGAGGAAAGCCTTATTTCTAAGATCACAGAAACTCTCTTCACACGATCGAGGTCAACAACAAATAGAAACTCAACTGCTACAGTCGCCCTTAGTATTTAAAGCAGCAAATTTTTTCCTATAAGTCAATACGAAGAAGAGACAGAGGCCGATTGTGAAGGATGAGCTGGTGAACCGGAGGCTACTTAACGACGCTATGCGAATTGCATATTATTGGGAATTGAATTATGTGATTACTTTCGCTGAAACTGACAGGTGATTCCCGACATTCGTATGGAGGGACTGGGGAAAACACGAAAACTTCCGGTATGATACCTGGTGTTCCTGCCGAGACTCGAACCAAGTACCTTCCGACTATAAGCCTACAGAGCTACAGCCACAATCTGCCCGGTTTTAGCGTCATATCTTCTGGGATTACTTTGTCAACATTATAGAATTTCTGAAGCATGCCGTATAGTGTCTGTACTGCGCACCGCTTCGATCTGCAATAGAAGCGTTACTATGTCCAGTGGTGTTTCTTAGTTTTCTGAAGTGGGGTGAGACTAAGTCCACTTGGTACTGCGGCCACTAACTGGACTATTGTACCAGCCTCGGATGATAGATGAGTGCGGAGCAGTCGGTGGAATGAGAACTGGCAAGGGAAACAAAAGTACTCGCATAAAACCTGCACCAGTGCCACTTGGTCCACCACAAATCCCACATAAGCTGACCTAAGCTCGAACCCGGGCCGCTGCGATGGGAAGCCGGCGATTAACCGCCTGAGCTATGGCATGGCCCAACTATGTCCAGTAAGTTAGCATCAAGACCAACAGGAAACAAAGGACTGCAAGCGGATCATTTTGAAAATCTGTTTACTCCGAAGAGAAGCGCCCATTTCCACTCCCCTTCAACTCTCTGTCAGCCAAGAAATAACTGCTTGAATTACGTAGCTGCAGAACATAATCTTAAATCGTGAAGTAAATACCAAGAAAAAACACAGGGAAAGACTGACGTACATGACCTTTCCTATGAGCAATTACTTGCGTATTTTGTGCAAAGATCGCACGCAATTTAAGGGTGAATGGAAATATTCCTCTATGCCGGACGGTACCAAGCGAGTGACGGCCATAAACTACTTCACTTAAACTGAGAGTGTACATTTATCATTAGTGCCTGTTCATCAGTCAACGTTACAGGACCAGATAGTTGTTTAACTTTTTTTTCATGATATCTGTACACAGGTGCCATCAGCGTCCATCTTCTCCAACTCGGTCTAATTAATTACTGAGGACACATCTGGTCCGTCATCTTTTAAACGCAAAAAGGTAAAGCCGTGAAGGCCCACAGGCTTGTGAGACGTGATTGAGATTAGCCCCTTCACAGAGGCCCAAGTGAGCAGATGTGTCCCCCTGACCCGACGACGGAAACAGATCCAGTTTTCGAAACACTGCGTTTTCTAGTTTTCAGGATACCAGACGATGGACAAAGTTCAAAACCCCAGTTATATGAAAGGTACTTCTGTGCGTTCCTTTTTCGTAGTGTCCAATGTGAGTGCAAAATGACCTGTCAGTTCCTTAATGTGCTTTTTCATTCGTTTTGTCTTTGAGATCCTCTTATTTTCCTGAAATATGTATCTATTTCACGATTTAAATTATTCATATTACGTCCACTTGTCTGGATTGGATCCTGTAACCAAAGCAAAGTAGTTTGCTTCCGCTTGCTAATAATTTTGTAAACATCTTTTGGCTGAAATTTTGACATTCTATCTATAACTTTGCTAAGCCCACATCATCACATCCATGTTCGAAAGCAATATGACTGCAGGGCCGAAGTTCCTCGTCATTAGGTATGTGACAATGTTTGATCCAGTAGAGTACAAATTCGTTGAACACTGTCAATTGTATGAAGTGTATTTAAATGTAAATTACATTATGAGAGTTGAATTTACTTTCGACTGAGGGCTGTTTGTTGGCATTAGATTAATAGTTTTGTTTTCCCTTGGCACTACAGCCCCAGTGGGCCTAGGCCTACCTCCATGAACTTCTCGTTCACTTCGGTTTTTCTAGATCTTACACAATCGGTAGGACTCCTTGGGCGGCTGATCAGCTCGTCGCAAGGCCTCTACATGTACACAAACTAAACATCCATGCCCTGAGTGGGATTCGAACCCACGATCCCGGTTTCCAAACGAGCGAAGACAGTACATGCTTTAGACCGCTCGGCTACCGTGACCGGCGATTAATAAATTTACTGTATTATTTTTTCTGGGTACTTCGGTTTCCCCTGCCAATCTGCATTCCACCAAATTCTCCATCAACATAATCACCCGGGGCAGGTACAATAGGCCAATCAGTGGCCGAAGTGCCGAGTGGACCCCGTTCGACTCCACCCCCCACTAAGCGAATAATAATATTAATGGCAGAGACTGAGATCGGATCAGGGATAGTGTGAATACCAAATCCGGTGATTTAGGAGTGGAAGAATAGGAAAGGATGCATGTGACTGGAGAGAGAGACGCCATGAGAAAGTAAGGACAGCATCAAGACCTCAAGATTACGAAGCAGGAGCGCTAAGTCCGGTCCAGATTGGTCACGTGGCCATTGTACGGCTATTTGGCGAGACAGGCTGAGTAAAGGGACGCAACCATATCATAATCCTTTACGATAAGATAACACTGAATTGAATGATTATGGTTGTTTATTGTGTTTACAGTCGATTCAACTGCACTGGTTAGTCATCACTGTCGACTTATCATATCATAAATCAGCTCTACGATTGCAATTAGATGTAACAGTCTCCAAGCCAAGTGTGATACGCGAATATGAGACAGAATTAAGCAAGGCAGGGGAGACATCATATTCCATTCCTGTTCCTCCGACCTTAGAAAGATGAGCTGGAAAGGTTGTGGCCATGGCTTCTTCCTGGCATCAGCCCGCCATTCCAGTGACTGATCAAAAACACGAAAATTCCCAATCAAGATAACTGATGTCCTAGCCCGCATTCGAATTGAGCAAAAGTTATTCTTGTAACAGGCCGTGAAGGCCTACACGGTTGTGAGACGTCGAAGCTTCCACATGTTTTAGACAATCTGCTCACAGATGGCGGTGAGGTTGTCAGCCAATTGAGTAGATTTCGAATAAAAATTCTAAATAAACTCTCAAATTGGTAGTGTTGTACAGCAGCATCCGCACCAGTCATTCGCTTGACTGCACATGTCAGATATTTTAAAACTGGAATCATTATTTACAGAATTAGCTCTCGGCGTCTGTGACGTCACTGAACAGTTTACGTGAACTATAAATTAACCAGTCTTACTAAAATATGTATCACTGTTCGCTCATGCGCATTAACCATGGAAACACTTAAACGTTTCTTGCAACGTTGACAAACTGTTAAAGATGAATCCTGACTTGTATCGACTACACGTTAATGTGGACTGCTGTAGAACGAAGGACTCAGTAAACTACTTCGAGAAAGATTAAATTGCTAAAGGACAGTACAAATTACACGACGAAAAACTTAACTGGCTGTGCGCTTCATCTAATATTACAGACGGTAGGAATCGAATTTTTATTCATGATGAACTCAGAGATAAAACTCAGGATATGCTTGTTATCATTCGTTTCAGAACCTTGGATCTTCCAGTGTCCTACCTATAAATTATATCGCAATGACTGGAATATACCTAAGTACAAATTTGCTTGCTGCGTTGTGGGTGAAACTAGTTCTCTTGCTCGATGGGAACTACATCTCACATTACATGGATCCAAAGTTGGTAAAAAAAATTACAACTGTTTGAGAAAATTACGTAATGTGATGTATCGTAATTCCTACACCGCGGCCTCTAGTCCGCAAGCGAACTATATCGACTGAGCGACCGCCGCGTGTCAGCAAACTTAGTGCCAGTTCTGACGGATAGAGGGTGTCGTGTGTTGAGTGCAACAGTTCCGCACGGCCGTTAATCTCGGTTTTGTAGACCGGAGACGTTATCCCCAGGTGGCTGAGTGGAACACGTTCCACTTGATGATGTGTTTCTATTGGACCATGATCTCTGTTAATCACTGTCCAGTGCATCTCTCGATTCGCAGACCATTTAACTGTGCTTTTCAGGTAGATAATATACACAGACTGCTCCACAAATAAGTACAGAAAACTGAAGGATGAGTACTATGGCTTAAAACAGCGAAAACATTTTCATAAACATGGGTCTAGAAATGGTTCAGTAACAATCCAAAGCTATTCAAAGGTGTTCTGGCAACAGCAGGATTAGAATTGTGGTTACAGAAGTAACATGTGGTACTGACTGTGGTAGGCAAACTTAACATGAATCTTCCACTGCAACACTCAAATCAGTAAAAGTGAGTGGGATTGTCGATGTTCTACAAGACGACCACGTAAATCTGTAACAATTGTATAAATTGAATGTGTAGAATAGCTGCGAAGCTATGCGGAATGCAGGGCCCACCGTGAGTACGCTGGTAGAATTTGCTCCTTTGTACTAGACTAAGTCTTTACGGCCGTTCAGCTGGTTTGTCCGGCGGGTAATATGGTGCTGCGTGCGCCTGTAGGAACAGCTGCCTACGGCGCGGTTGCTGGAGAGTTGCGGCAACTACGTTAGCTGCCTGGTCGCAGAGCGTGATTGCTGGAGAGTTTCGGCAGCTAAGTTACCTGTCTAGTAGCAGAGCGCGGTTGCTGGAGAGCTGCGGCAGCTAAGTTAACTGTCTGGTCGCAGAGCGCGGTTGCTGGAGAGTTTCGGCAGCTAAGTTACTTGTCTAGTAGCAGAGCGCGGTTGCTGGAGAGCTGCGGCAGCTAAGTTAACTGTCTAGTAGCAGAGCGCGGTTGCTGGAGAGCTGCGGCAGCTAAGTTAACTGTCTAGTAGCAGAGCGCGGTTGCTGGA